GAGAACGCAAAGGAAGTGAAACAAAATATGTGCAGTAACTCAGAGCCCAGCTACTCTTCTAAGACAGTTTGCGCTGGGTGCATACCGCACGGCATTAAACTAAGACCAAATAGTTTAGAAAGCTTTACTTTGCAGGTCCACTGTGCTGGTAGCACAATGGACTGGAGTGGAGTAGGAACTCTGGCAGAATGGTTGTAGTGTCAGGTCTCTACGAGGTTTGGGTAAATCCCGACACCTAAAAATAAGTCCACATCAGATGTAATGTCTAGGCACAATGGCATAAACCAAGGATGGACCTTCATTATTAACTTTGAATTCCCTGGGCCAAATCCTCAAGACCAAAGACTAAGCTCTAAAAATGTGCTTGCAATTGCAGCTATTTGCTCACACACAAAAAACTGATGAACAAGTACATTTTGCAAGTGCATTTTTAGAAACTCATTAAAAAACTGGCCCCAAGGGTCTAAACTATATTTGAAATTTCCTAAAAAAATAGGACAAATGACAGTTTTGAAAATGCATATTATATAGCGATTAGAAAAGAAGGTGAGACACTGGTGAAATCCGGGCTCCACTGACGTCAATGGCAAATGATATTTTATCAAATAAACTCATTTTAAGGGCTTTAAAATAAACAAGGAGACTTTCTCACTTAAATACATATTCTCTTATATGACAAAAAGTCATTTGAGTGTATGTAGACACTTAAGTGTTATTTACTCAGATCCAAAAAACTCCTAAATTTTCAAATATCATCATCTTAACTGGAACTTGTACTTTCTGTAGAACATTTACATCTATGCTGAGCACAAGGGCCAAAACAGGCAATCCAAAAGATTGTATAGGAGAATCAATTGTCCAAAAATATGTGAAAAGTCCTACAGAGTAATTCCTATGCCCAACTCTATCAAGACAGTAAACACTGTTACAGAGAGGTTATATTTCAGAAGAAAAAAGTGACTTCAGCATTTTGTGGCATATTGCATGCATGTAAGTGAAATATGAGACATGCTCTGAACCTGTTTTTCAACTGGGTTCTCTACAGTACACTGAAGGCAGGATAGAGCATGCCAGCAGCTATTCTCAGAGAGAATTTAATGGACAACAGCTGCAGTTTTATCTGCAATATGCTTATATTCAGAACTTCAGCAGAAATCTGCACATGATTTTTCTGTCTGTTGGATTTTTATTATATTGTTTTAAGTTATAACAACATGTGGCTGGCTGAAGATCTATCCAATCAGGCTTCTTCGCTTAACAAAAATTATAATATAGATCCTGAAAAATCATGTAAGTGCTATATTGCTTTAATTAGTCATATTTACAATGTTGTACTTAGGGGTGGAACCTGCAAACCTTTATGAAGCATAAATATGCATTGCTATATTGTGCGAACAAATCAAGCTTTAATTCACCAATGTTGAATACAATTTTAGTTTTTGGCTGTCAAAATGTTCTTGAAGAGTACTGGTTTCCAGAGGGAAGAGTTAGCTGAAAAAAATGCACATCCTTGAAAATCTGTTTGAAAACATTTTCAAAAATTACCTCAGCCTTCCTGAACATGAAGCTTCGACTATGGACTGGAAAAAAAAAAAAATCCTACCCAACCAACCAACCCCCACTAAAATATTTTTATACACTATCTAGGCAGATTGTGAGTGAACAAATAGTCATCAGAACTGCATAAAAAGTGTGCCCTCTTATCATAACTGTTAATTAAATGTGATGCTCCAGAACCTCACTTGGTGTAAATCTCCATAGTTTCATTGATTTCAATGGCATTAACCTAATTCACACCAGATGAGAATCTGATCCACTATTTTAATGATATATAGATGTCATTTGAATTGAGCATCAAGAATGAAAAATTAACTCAAATTTGTCTAAATGCTAACACAAAAACACTAGATGCTAAATGGTAAAATCATCTTCCTCTCCTACTACTCCATCCACCTCTCCTCTCCTGGGTTCTTGTCTCTTACAATATCAGTTTCAAGCCCCATATTCTCCTCTACAAAATCCTACATAAAATCTGACCCCGTTGTTTTCATTCCCCCCTGCTCCTCTTCCACTCCCTATATTGTATCAGTTTCCTTTGCCTTATTATTCTCTAAGCTCCCTGCATTCTGTCATGCTGCCCCATATGTTTGGCAAGTCTTCCTTTTCTCTGCCCCCTTGAAATACCTCCTTAAACCCACTTCTTTCAGCACTCCCCTCCACAATGATTTCACACTCTCTCTGCTCTAACAGTTGTGCCTTATCTGATCTTACATCTGTTTTTCTTACCGACCTTTGGGTTAGACACTGCAAACCCTTTTCCAGTCCCTGCTCACATAAATAGCTCCACTGACCTAAAAATCAAGCCAGGTTTGAAGAAAATCAGTGGTTTGTTATTTTAATTATTGACATTTAATACTTGATAATTTCACTCGTGGGCAACAGGAGAAAAATACACAAAGAACTGGATTTGTGTTCATCCCGCCAGAAGCAGAACAGGAGAGATATAAATCAGCTGTCAGGAAACAGTGACCTCATCATTTAATCCAGTAGTCTACTATAATTAAGGAAACTGACCTGCCCGTTGTGTCTGCTCCCTGCTTATTTAAAGCTGGTCCTTTCCAATCGTGCAAATTATTCTCCAGTGGTACAATGTTTCATAACACTGTAGAAATATGTCCAGAGATTCAGTGCTGCCAGAACTAACTGACTTTGAAAATTATGCATGCAGCACTCCAACTAAGTGTCATTACTGTAAAAGAAACATCTAAATGCTGCAACACACAAGTTCGTATGTGGTATCCTCTGACTTTGTTACATACATTCACCATGCTGTACTCTCACGTAGGTTAACCTGATTCTGAATGCATTCACTAAGAGGGACACCAGTGGAGTCAATTTAGTATTTGTGAAAAGTGCCAGAATGATGGCCCTGGTGAAGGAGTCCTCTCCTCATCCACAGAATGATCACGGCACAGGCAGTGTGCAATTCCCACCACGTGCATGCCCCATCTTTGACCAATCTATTGGAGGTGTCTTCATGCTGATGCCATCCTTAGCGTCTTCTGAAACTGTCCACACGGCTGCCAATTGGGGTCAGTTGAGTTAATAGTTATTGTGAAGGTAAAAAAAAATGACCTGGCCAGCTGCATTCTATGACTGGGAGGACTGCATGCAATTCCCCTTGTCTGTGTCATGCTTTTATCAGTGGTGGCCGGGCTATCTGCAGATTAACAAGATGTAGGGACGCATAGCTCCCGAATCGCCAGCCCACAGATGCGGCACACTGTGTCTGTGGCTACGAGGCAGGAGTGACCTTCACCCCAGTGTCTGTGATTAGGAAACTTATTGGCTGACTTGATCATCACCCTCGCAGCTTGCTTTCACGTGCACAAGATATGGGTTTGTTATCTTATGTTGTTGTACACTGTACACTCCTCCTATGCGCAAGAATTTAACCACTTAGAAGTGTTGTAAGCAGGGAGGTAGAAAGAATAAAAACCCCAGGAAAGATTTCCTTGGAGGCTTTTGAGGCTTTTTGGCTTTTCGGCTACCACAACCTGGCTTTCTGTCTCCTTCCTTTTTCGTCGCCACAACAAGATCCTCACCAGGAATCGTGCATGCCACCTGTCTAGTACCTTAAGTCGCTGGATCGTTTCCTGAATAACATGCTCAACAATATTTGACAAAAAGGTGCTGTGCATGACTGAACAGTGCTTCCTATAATCCCAAGTAACATTAAAGGGGCAGTACTGCCAAATACGCTTCTACCAAGATCTCAAATGCAAAAATCCCCACACCTTGCTGCTTTTTAAAGAAGTGGCTCAGTTTGTAACCGGTGACGATTTTTTGTTCACATGTTTTGCTTTTCATGGACAAAAGAATCTCACTGAGGAAGCCTTGGATCTGTTGGTTTCAGAGTATTATCAGTGTGTCTACTTATATAAAAGCCATCCCATGGCATCATAACTAAAACAATACTTGTCATGTCCTCAGCAGTACACACATTAGCATGCACCAGCCTTCTGAAAACAGCCCCAGGAAGGACCCAGCTGGTTAGAGTCCTGATAGCAATCAGGACCCTGCTGTCTTAGCCAATCACTAGCCAAATTTATTACACAAAAGTAAGAGCTATCAATGGCAAACATTTGACTACTTCCCTCATCTCACCATCTGCTTCTTCTGCTGCTCACTTGAAAATTAATAAGGCTGTTATCTAAATCAGAAGCTAATGCTACATCTGTCTTCCTTAAAATTACAGATAATTACTAGACTGTGCACATAACTGCTCTTGCAATTAGCATGAGGGTTCAATAGCCTCTAATCTGACAGGACCATTTCCTTTCCTAAAGAAAAGGCTATAACGTTTCATCTGCAGTTGCAATCCCTGAATTAAATTGAATTGGTTCTTGAGATTCAATTTCCCCCCACACTTTGCCCACAGAACAACAACAACAAAATCAACTGTACCAAAATTTAAATGTCTTTTGAAGGACATAATGAATGTGTGCCTTTCATACTTAGATATAAAAAAAACCTGAGGACTGCCACTGCGTGTATAAATGACATCTACAAGCCCAGCTCTTAGTGCCTGTTCTCACTCATGGCCAAATGAGATTGATTTTTGCCCTCTAAAGACTCATTCTTAACACTTTTCTATTTTCATCTGGCTTGAGCCAGAGCTAGATAGGCGTGACTGACTCGGCTTTTTTTTTTTGCACACCCTCCCCCACCCCCACAATGTGTCCCGATATTTTCTTTCCCTCATCTGGTCACTCTAGAGCTAGAGTAGGTAACGGGAAAGAGAAATCAAAGATGTCTTAAAGAGCCCTAAAACTCCCTGATGTTAATATTTTCAAAGGATCCTAATTCTGTTTTCTTTAATCAGATAAATCTACCAGAGGTCAAATATGATTTTTTCCCAAGTAAAGCCATGATGCTGTAGTCTTAACTTGCACTAGGAGAATTCATTTCACAAACTTTCAGGAAAACATTTCACAAACCTTCAGGAAAACAGTCTGAAGCAGAACACTGTAAACTTCTTCCCCAGTTACGTCCCACTTGAAACACCATTCAATCTTAAAGAGGCACTGTCAGGTAAAAAAAAATAAAATAAAAATCTTATTTAAAAATAAAATAAAAGTCTGTCTGAATTAATAATATCTTAAAATATTAAGGAGTTTGAACTTCTCACCATTAATGAAGTCTGTTCATTTGTTGCACACCACACAAACACAGTAGTTAGTTTCACTTTCTCATCCTCAAATACTAGCGAAATTTTACATTTTGTGTTGTAAGCCCCATGATGAAATGTTTATATCCAAACAAAAACTATATTCACTAAAGTTTAAAAGCAATGCAATGAAAATGCTGCTGTTAACAACGGGGTCTCTAATTTAAAACAAATATTTTAAAAGTCACATTTTGGCTTTAAAACAACGAGAAGTCCGGGGCACCTTAAAGACTAACAGATTTATTTGGGCATAAGCTTTTTGTGGGTAAAAACCCACTTCTTCAGATGCACGGATTGAAAATTACAGATGCAGGCATAAATATACTGATACATAAAGAGAAGGGAGTTGGGAGTTTTGTAAGGTAACTCCCTTCTCTTCGTGTGTCAGTATATTTATGCCTGCATCTGTAATTTGCATTCCATGCATCTGAAGAAGTGGGCTTTTTACCCACGAAAGCTTATGCCCAAATAAATCTGTTAGTCTTTAAGGTGCCACCAGACTCTTCGTTGTTTTTGTGGATACAGACTAACACGGCTACCTTTCTGATTATGGCTTTAAACTACTTAGCATCCAGCTAACCGTTAAAAGATAATAAAGTAAGTGGAATGGGACAGAAGGCTCCACTGTGCCCTAGATCTTCTGCAGTGTTGTCCTTCTTTTTATACTGGTTCTTTTTATGCTGGTTATATAGGGTTACATACTGGCAACAGAATAATGAAAGTTCCTTAGCCTTCTACAATACTAATACCTGCCAGTCAAACAATGGTAGGCTGAAGGACAAAGACAGGACAGGTCAGTGAAAGAAAGGACCGCTATATTTCAGGAGATTTACCATACAAGGGATATGTTTTGAAGAAGCTAGACTACCACTGGAGTAGGAGTAAGGGGAGAAAGGAAAGATGGGTAATTTGGAGTCTGTAAACCTTGACAATATCCCTTTAAAGAAAAAACGTCTGTCACTGTAAGCTTGCTTGTTTATATGAATGATGCAAACACACATTTGTGGCAAAAGATTTTTCCATGGTTTCTATTTTGTGCTAGCTTGCCATGATTGTGCTTTTTCTTAATTGTTTGTTAATAGCATGCAAAGTGAACAGATGTACATCAAGTCAAGCTCTCCCTTCATTCCAGATGTGGGAGTGATGGAAAATGACAAATGGACAAATCAAGAAAGGAATTATAACGAAGGCATTAATTCTAGAAAACAACCTTTACCCTCTTTAAGAGGGAAGATGAAAAAGTGCAGCAGATATTAATCGCATATAACATTTCTGTAATGTCTTACATTTTAAAAGTGCTGTACAAACGTTAACTGCTTCATCCTTTTAAGGCCCTTTGGAGGAAGGAAAGTATAACTATCCTTGTTTTACAGATGGGGAAAGTGAAGCAGACATGTTATGTGCAAACTCTTCCGTATCTTGGTGCCCAAAGCTAGGCACTTAAAGTGGGAATTTCAAATGTGCTCAGCCTTTGCCTAACAGCTCCAACTGAAATCAGTCATAAAATTATACTAACCAATCATCAAAAGCATCTGTGGCTCCTTCTGAAAACTGGACGATTTTTATCTATTTTAAACTTTTGGCCCCCACAGTTGAATATTACGAGAAGTCGTCCTAAGGGTCTTAACTGGAAAGTGTTACTTTTTTGCAAAAACATTTTTAAGTAAGCTTCTGATAGAATATAGAAGGGAATTATATATCCCTGCTATAAAATTCTGTAAATTGGTTTAAAATCCTACAGAATGTAATGAAGATCATTTTAAAATAATCATTTCTATAGAACTCTTTTGATTCAGTTCCTGTCAAATGTCACTGAACTTTACCAGGGCCACATGCCAGTGATTCAACGGCAGAACCAAAGTAAAAATGCAGCTGTTTTAGCTACCCGCGTGCAGTCAAGCCATAAAGCCACACTGCCTCCAATCACGAGAGAAGTCAGATGCTGAGGGCCACACTGGCAGCTTTCTCACACCATGAAGGGCCACACCTAATTTGAATGAAATGGACTGCAGTTACCTGCATGCCAAACAGGGAAGTGTGAGATCATGGGGACAACAGATCTCAGCACACAGACAATGCCCCATAGGCAACACTCAGCATAATGCTCCATTCAAACAGCCTGCAGAACTAGATGCACTGCCCTGCATTCCACTCCTGGACTTGACTAAGCAATTTGTGAGTAAGAGAATTGGATTTCAAGCCAAGTCAATGATCATCTGCAGCCTGGATTAATTAAAATTACTTCAATTTCACTTTTTTTCAGTAAGAAGAAATGTTTCAGATAAAAATTTTAAGCGCTAGTATTCCTCTCCCCCCCCACCACCAATAACGGAATACTGTTCGTGCCAGGGCACATTCGCATCATATGTGGAGGGAGTAAGGTGGCTGGCACTATTCTTGTTAGCAACAAAGATAGTCGCACAACTCATTTCCCAGGCACCAGGATGAAAATATATCCCACTATGTAAGCCAAGCTTTTGATTCTGGAACAAGAGTGGTGAGAGAGATTAAATAGAATAAAAAGAGTCATGAGACACAACGGAAAAAAAATAACTGAAATGTTCGTGCAAAAATTCCAAATAAAAGTTCTCAATTTCACTGTGGAAACTGGAAAGGACAAATTTTGAAATGGATGGAAAAGTGTATGGGGTCTTAAAATGCTTTGTAATAGGCTGGTTCAATATTTTGAAAATTCTTAAGTACTTGTTTTACAAAGCACCTCAAACATTAGCCCTCACAACATCCTTGCAAGAGGAGCATTATTATCCTAATTTTACAGATGGGGAAAACAGAAGCAGAAAGTTGCCCCAATGATTAGAGCAGGGGTAGGCAACCTATGGTACGCGTGCCAAAGGCAGCATGCGAGCTGATTTTCAGTGACACTCACACTGCCTGGGTCCTGGCCACCGGTCCGGGGAGGCTCTGCATTGTAATTTAATTTTAAATGAAGCTTCTTAAACATTTTAAAAACCTTATTTACTTTACATACAACAATAGTTTTGTTATATATTATAGACTTATAGAAAGAGACCTTCTAAAAACGTTAAAATGTATTACTGACACGTGAAACCTTAAATTAGAGTGAATAAATGAAGACTCGGCACACCACTTCTGAAAGGTTGCCGACCCCTGGTCTAGATAATTAGTCCTGCCACGAGTGCAGGGGACTGGACTAGATGATCTCTCGAGGTCCCTTCCAATTCTATGATTCTATGTCAGTCAATGTCAGGCACAGGATTGGAACTCAGAGATACTTAATTGTACGCCACCCAACTCCATCCTCTACATCATCCATTTTCTCTTTAAGAAAGAATTACTATGAGATTCCTCAAGAAGCAGCTAGCCACTAACTGATAGCAACATGGACACCTAACAAATTAATTGCTTTTAGTATTCTTACAATAATACCATCTAGTTCTTATATAGTGCTTTTCATCCAAAGATCTCCAAGTGCTTTATAAAGGAGGTCAGTATCTTTATCCTCATTTTACAGATTGGAAAACTGAGGAACAGGGTGGGAAATGGCTTGCCCATGGTCATTCACTAAAGCAGTTGTAAAGCTTTTATGAAAAGGTCCATAAAATCCAAGTCCAGTGCTTTAGCCACGAGGCTGCATTGCCTCCGGGCCAAATGGAGGGACTTCACTCCTCCAACCTCTATGGCATCTCTCATACTATATGGCTTCTCTCAGATCTGCCATGATGATCTGCACTATTATATCCATTTTGGAAAATAACAAGTTTCTCACAGGTTGTCTCCAATCAGCTTGACACACACTTCATCTGATCTGCAACCAACTAGCAGCAATACCAAAATACATCCTCCTCATTGTGAGAGTGAATATCATCACCTTCATGAAAGTCAAAGCATTCCCACGCTGCAGTCAAGAAACGGGCCAGACTGGTTTGCCCCAGGAGGCTCCTGTAAGCCTCCAGAACTCCTTTAGAGAAAAAGGCACTCAGCTGCAAGACTAAGGCACTGCAAATCCAGTGGAGCAATAAAACCAACAGAACCTCCCTCTTTATTTCACAAATAAATGACCATAGTTCACTAATGAACTATGTCAGAAAAAGAGGAAGACAGAAGACTAGAATGTTGGTGGTGCAAAACCCTTTTCAAAATCACACTGACAACTGCACCAGAATTCTTGCATGTACCATCTACTTGCTTAATTAGAGTTTCCAGAGTGTCAACTTCTCTAAGAAATATGTATAATGAGACATTTGAGTGTCTAGAAACACAGTTAATGTGAGTAAGACTCTAGTCTGAACTTCCTCAGTGAGAAATCAAAACAAGCCACCAGTCATTCTTTCAGTAACGTCAGGACTTTTCCCGGTGTAAAAAAGAAATGAAGAAGTCACCTTTTATGATAAAGTTTTAGTATTCAGGGAGAACTTATGAAAAAAACAAGACCAATCCTCATTTACAGGATATATTTCTAGGACATATAACAAAGAGAGAGGGTCACAAAAGGTGCAAGCGTTTGGGTTTAATCTGTTCGGCCCAGGAAATGGTGAGCTTTTTCTAAACGAACAAATAAATGTCTTGAAGCCTCCCCACTTTAAAGTAAACAACATAGAGCTAAGTAATTTAAGAACATCAAGGAGAACAAAAACAAAGAACAGAGAAAGAGACTGGGAGGCAACATGGAGGTACAAATCTTAAAAATGCTGAGTCTGTGGAGAGGGAAGACGGGGTGAAAGTTCACAAGTGGCTTTCAAAGGCTGCTTTTTATAATGGCACTTGGACAGCATCCACAAAGCACGCATACCTTTAGCCATGGGTCTCCCCAATGCTGTTTTGAGAGCTGTTCCTCAAGCTGACAGTGAGGTCAGTCTTCCACAAAACACAAGAGTG